GTTCAAAACTAAGTGTGGTCAATTTTCTTGTGTCACATTCATGCTAAGTGATTGTACCTAATCTTTGCATTTCTGGTCTTCTGTTGCCCTCATCCCTGTTGTATCTAAATGGTCTTAGAGTGAGTTACGGACCTGTGATGAGATCCCAAAGGGACTTCAAAGATTCTTTGTTCTTCCTCCTTTCCCCACAGAAGAATCATAGTTTGATATGCACACACCTAGTTGTGATTTAATCCTCTTCTTCTCTTTCTCCTTTCATGTCAGCTGAGAAATGACAAGAAGCCCGTTTTAAAAAAGACAAAGCTCTTGTAATGTGTTTGAAAGGTGGGCATGCTCTGGATTAGGCCCTCTCAAGGGAGTGTTGGTTTCAGAGCAAAACCATCTCTGCCTCCCCGGTGGCTTTGCTGTCTTTTCTGTTTGCTGCCTGTTGGAGAGGAGGTCATAGGCAAACACAATAACTAGTGCAGCTCTGCCCAAAGAGCAGGCAACCCTGCATCAGCTATTGTTACTGGCATTGTCTTTTAGCTGTATTTCTCTTTCATTATGTTGGACTAAAATGTACCATAAAACAAAGAGGAATATGTAAGTGTGTTGACAAAAGTCACTGATAGTTTTAGATGCACATGACCGTCCAAGAAATAATCTGTAGGGAAGGAAAAAATTGCACTGTTTCTGGGAAGTAAAACTTTTTTCTTAATTATATCTCACACATTAATGTTGTTGGTTTGGTGAGGACAGAAAGAAATTATGGCTCCTGCTCCTTCACACACCGGCTCCCAAAGCAGTGGAATCTGTGGTGTGGCCACTCTGCCAAATTTGCGAACCTAGAATGTCTCAGAAAGCCATACACTCCTCCGTCACATGGATAAATTGACATGATATACACTGTGCCCCAGGGTTATAGGCTGCTTAATAAATGATATCTGTATGCAGAAGAACATTAGATTTCTAGGCTACATCTATAATAGATATCTTGCGTAGAATATGAAGCTGAGTGGATAGACCCAAAGCCAGTCGTGCAGCCCTACAGACCGCCTGTGCTGTGACTCTCAACCCACTGTGTACGGCAGTCATAAAACCGCGCCAGCTGTGTTGTCCAGGTCTCTCGTGTCACTGATTCTCATGAAAAAGGAGCCATGACATTTCTTGTTACCAAACCCCTACCACACCCAAGGTGATCTCGGTCTCTTTGTTTGAACTGCAATGGGATATTCCATTTGTTGAAAAGCATTATAAAATTTGATCCTGGTTCCTTCCCTTTCTCCACTTTTTCCACTTGCACTCTAGCTACCTTGGCAGGAGCCCTATTGCACCATCTAGACTATGCTCCTGTTCATAAGGGTGACTGAGCTAGCATGAGCTGTAGTTCAGATTCTGTCATCCACCTGTCAAAGATTAACAATAGCTGCTGGATTGTAAAAGAGTGATCCTTCACCATATCACATCTACCTATTTGCTGTCGCAGCTCTATTGCCATACAGGACTCAAAGTTGAGATGTAGATCAGTAGAGTAGTGATCTGGGTGTTGATCTCTTTGCTTCCTTGATGCTCTGCTGTTTTGCTTTGTACCTGGAATATGTGCTGTTCTTTCGAGCAAATGACCTTTTGATGATTGTAGCACTCTCCTTCATGTCTCTGTCCTCTCTCCTGCTCAAGCTGCCTGGCTGCTTACTCAGCCAGAGGAAAACTGACTTCTTTTGGATTTTACCTCTTTACCAACTTGAAGCATCTGCTGAATAAGCAATGCAGTCAGCATATGCATGCTTTCGGAAACAAAAGCTCTTCCTCCAAATATTTGTACAGTTGTAACTATTCTGTGGCAAAGGAAGAAACACCCTGAAATGCAACTACACCTCTCCCCACCTTCAGCCACTAGAATTTGAACACATTTTCTTTCTGTCTGTATATTTTCAGTACAAAATGAGAGAAATTAGTTTATTCATCTTCATGATATTTTTAATATGATACAATTCAGCCTCTGTATTCTGAATTGTATCACCCCAAGGTTTAGAACACTGTGGCAAACCTAATTCTGGTTTCTAGGCAGTAATAAGGTAGTCCATCCTTATTACAGTTTGTTCCTGCAATAGAACTTCTAGACATGAGTTTGGCTCCCAGCCTTCAGACATGATCTGAATTGTATTTGCTTGGAAAATAGCATTATAAGAGTTTTGTGTACGATAACAGTTGCCTTCACTTAAGCAGGAAGGTTACCATGTTATAATTAATATCTGCCTGGTCAGTATTATAATTACAGCCACTAAAAGTTGTTCTGAATACTGTTTTAGGTGGTTATGGTACAGTTCCATATATTACTATAATTCTCTTGGGTTTTTTTTCAGTTTATAATGTGAGGTAATAACAACATTGATGAATGCAAAGGGAAATGGAGAGCAAAAAACCCAGAGTCGGGATCTGATGTACAGCATACACTAAATATTGTCTGCAATGACCAGATGGAAATGAGTGTACATGGATGTAGCCACAGTTCTTTCTTCCCACAATTGTGTTCATATCTTATTACAAAATTTTATTATAGATCAAGTCCTTGACAGTTTCGACTTATCCAGACTTCTCTTGTTTTTACACACCCCAAAGTTCTTTTCGAGAATATAGAAAGATTTCAAATGGAAAAGTACCAAAAGGGAAATATTGTTGGCTCCTGTTTGTAACTTGAGGACCAGACAAATCCTGTGACCTTTTTTTTTTTTGCACTATTCACTTTTCTTTTTTTTTTCTTTTCTATTTATCCTTACGGAATCCAGTTTTTGTAAACTAGAAACCCTCACTATTCCAAGATCCCACAGGTTCCAAAATCTGAAACTAGTCCATGACTAGTAGGCTAAGAAAGTTATATCATACTTTTAATTTGGCACAAAGATACAGTAATGACAGGGGTTTTCCACTAGTCCAGTCAAATACACTTATTGTGTCGTATTATAATTGAATGATGTCTTGCTGAAGCTTCTTTTGGCTTCTTCTTATTTGTATATTCTATTCTGTACATATTTGGGCGTGGTTAAGAACTTTCCATGTCAGCAAAGAAAAATATTTGAAAAAAATAAAAAACAAACAAACAACCCAAAAAACAAAAAAATAGTCAAGGAGACAATATTTTAGGGAGGAGCATGAAAGGGAGGGCGGCGGAGGGGGGGAATCTCAGATCATTTACCATGGTATATTAGTATTTTTCCCTAGTGAGGAGATAACATAAGCAAATGCTTTATTTATCATTGCCCCACATTGCTATTGTAACTTCTACTTTCTATGAACAGAAGAGGATTCTTTTGCTTTTTGTTCATTTTATAACATCATAGTCTTTTGTTTATTTAAAAAGACTACACAAGGTACTGACTAGTAAAATCAAACTATCTAATTCTACAATTGATTACAGTTGCCAAAGACATACCAAAGGAAAGAATTGGAGATGAAAACAGGAATAGTAAGAATCTTAACTGAGAAGGTCTTATCAATACAAGAGCAAGCCAAAATTTTGACACATAGAAGAGGGGCTGAGATGCATTATTTATCAGCAAAAGAAAGCTGTAAGTAGAAAACAAACAGGAATTCATCTAGAGGTTGACCACAAGAAAAAAAATGCTAATTGTAGTTCTGCAGGGCTTCCTAGTATAGAAGGTCTGAGGAATTATCTGAATGTGTGGTGGTGAAATAGTAATCCTTATAAATAGTTGGTGAAACAGGAGAGACAGGAATCACCTAAAAAAAAAAGAACATTCTCCTTGGCAGTAGGCTTTCTGAAGTGTTTCTGGCTTTGCATTTTATTTTGCTTACATAAAATTATGAAGCATTGCATTTCTTGTGCTACTGTGGCCTAGCTAGAAACGAAGTGAGGAGTGTAGCTTGAATTCAGAATAGGCTACAATTCAGAATTAAATTGTAATATAACTCAATTGAAATTATTAAAACTGAATTTAATGAAAATTAATTGAAGTCTAGTTGAATTAAAATTGTATATGAATTAAATATGGGTGTTTTCTTTCTGTATTTGCACCTAAAAAGGTAGATTTATACGTAATTCTTTCCCATTTCAAAAAACAAGTTGATTTTTACATCAGTGGCACAGATGCAGACTTAACATAAGGAAGTGCTGCTAAAAGACTTTGTATCCATTTCCTTCACTTTACCCTGTATTTATAAACAAGGACTTCTGATAGCCCAGCCGTTTGTGCTATTCTCTTGCAATAGGTAGCAAAACCTTCTTAAGAGTCCCAAGTTCTGCCATCTTAGATGTATTATTTCTGCTGAAATGTGTAAAATACCTCTGTAAGAGGGTATATTTTTTAAAACTCAAAAATCTTGCACTGAAAGGATATTTTCTGTATCAATGAAAAAAAATGTCCACACATTAAACAGTTACATTGCCAGAGAATTTGAATCCAATCAGCATAGATGGTATTTAGGCAAATAGTTCAAACCAGATAATTCTAGACAAATATTATCGTGTGTGTATTTGGGAGGAGGTAATGTATACATGTGCGTAAATCTTTCTACAAATATGCAAAGCAAAGGATTATGGAGACTTTCAAAAAGTGCTTTGGGTGGAAAAGGTTGTTTCTTTTGCAGTGTGAGTAATATCAGTTTCAAAGACAGTCTCTCACCTGTCTGCTATTGAGCTAATGCAACCTTTCATTGCTGCGCATCTCACAATGCTAACCTCCTGTCCATCCCAAAACACTCAATATTACCACTCTGGGAGCCTGTATGTCATGTTAAGCACCTTGAAAAGGGCATGCCTTAGGAAAGTCTCAGGTGTAGCAAGTAAAGCATCACTACAGTTGTCACTTCAGCTCAGCATGAACATTTAGATCCACATCCTCAGAATAAAATATTGTACGGCTGTGACTTTTCTACAGCTTGTCTTAAAATCTTGAGTCGCTATCTTCTCTTTACCTACACCTCCTGTGTTCAACACACACAAAAGCGTATCAAGGTTACTACTTTTGTGTAAGAAAAAAGAATCCCACAGCATTTCTTTTTAATAACTGTTCAGCTACAAAATTTTATTGGTATCCTTCTATGTTCCCTCTAGAGGATGTAATGCACAAAAGCATTGCCACGGAACATATAAAATTACAAATGAAATTTATTGTAAAAAGTAGAATGTCTTCTAGACTGGGGTCAGTATTTATTTCATTCATAAACCAAAACTGCAGGTATAATATATTCATTGTCAGCAAGTTCATGTGTGTAAATTGCCATCCAACAGTATTGACTGATATAAGACAGATATTGAAAAGACAATTTAAATTTACTCTTCCAAACATAAACTGTTCCACAAAAGCACTGTAAAAACTCCTTCAAGGTTTTGTGTTGTGCTTCACATTTATGGTTAACTACATAATTTGGTTGTGTCATAATCCACTGTGTTTGGCAATTTGGCATTAAAGGCCTGCAAAGCAGATTGAATCCTCACCACTTCACTGGTAGACAGTTTGAGTCTATGACGGAGCAAGCAAGAGAAGAGGTCTAGACGACGTTGACCAGGCGGAGAGAGTTTATTTACACGATCCCGTATCTCTAACAACTGCAAAAGTGCTGAGTCCTGCGATCCCTGAGTGTAGGGGTAGTCCAGCTGCAAAATCAAGTCTCGAATTGCTTCTGGGTCGAAATGCATGCTGTAGCCAAACACTTGGATGTTATTAATTTTCATGTAGCCCAGATTTCTTGAGGGATCAATAAATTCCAGGGGTTCATAGTAGATGCTCTCGTTGCCATTTGGACCGTTTGACTTTATTCGACTCCTCAAATAGATGTGTACAGTTTCAAAAAATGTCTTCCACTTGTTGCCCAGAGTCAGCGTCCAGTTATAACACTGAAGGGGTAAGTCCAGTTTAGTCCGCTCCCAGTCTGGGAAATTATTTTCATTCACAGGCATAAACCAGCTCTCAGAGTGGCTGCCCCCAAAAGGGTTGACGTAAACAGCAAGAACGGGCTCTAAGGTGCTGTTTTTAGTTAGGCAAATTTGAAGAGAGAGGCCCAGTATCATATGGACCAGGCTAGACTTGTACTTGTTACTCTTAAGAGTAAGGAGCATCCGCTTGCGCCAAGAAGGATCAAACCAGCTGTTAAGGCGCATGTCGTTGCTGATGAAAATGGCGTGGACCTCAATTCTCCGGTCTGTCTTCTGCAATAAATACTTCATTTCCAGGTCCTGAAGGTCAGTCTCGAACCCAATGTAGTGCTCTGTTGATTCTGCCACTTCAGGCTTGCAGAGCCCTTGGCTCAGCATGTAGCCCGCGTTGCAGCTCCCGCAGCGGGTGCGATTGTCAGGAGCACAGCTCAAGCACGCAGAGCCATCTCCAACTGTGCAGGGAAGGAAACCATTGCAGGCAACTTGGTCATTAGGGCAGGTGCATGTGTGAGTCTCTTCTGAGAAGCTTCCTAGGAGGCCATTTTCATTGCAGTAGAGAAAGGACTGGATGCGGTTGAGCCAATAGTTGGAAGATCTGCAACGTTAAAATAATGTATTTTAACACAAAGAGAGACCTGCACACAGTAAATACAACCTTGTTATTTTTTATCGGAAAGAGAAAAATAAAGCTGGTTTTAGTAGCATATTAAGGCACTAAAGTCAGATGACAGCATCTGCTGTCAGATAAATACATGTATAAATTGCCTTTTAACAATGCAAAATCACAAAAGAGAAGTTTCCTTATAAACAAACAGGCAGAACAGGAACATTTGGTTTGTGTGTTTGCTCTCTCTGCATCTCAGTCAAGGAAGGCTGACAAAGAGCCATTTTTCTGTAACTGTCTTCAGATTAACATCCTATGCAGTTGAGATTATTTTTCCTCTTGCTGGAGCTGCTTTGATTTATAGACAGTGAGCCAAAATGCTTTTTCTGGAATAGCAAATAGGACCCTGCACCCCACTAAAATAGATTCAGTCTTAATTCTTCAGATGACTTCCAGCACAACAACGTCTCTACAGGAAGCCATGCATGAGCATGCTGTGTTTACTTTTCATCTTTGGAGATGAAATTAAAAGATCACTTTAATGTTTTTCTTGTCATGTCATTTTGGTTTCACTAGAAGCAACAGTTAATGTCCTACATCACACTGGGAAAACAGATACTGAAACCAACAGTTTAGGCTGATGAGGCACAGTTGCTCGAAGAAAGACGATGGGAACAAGGGAGTTACATGCAGATAGTCAAGAGAAAAATTATCTTCTTTCTTTGTCTGTATTTTTCAGTTCTTATTAATGCTAGCAATGCACGGTTTAAAGAACTTATTTTGGCTGCTGCATAGTCAGCCCTATTGTTGCCATGTGAATGACGCTGGTTGTGCGGGTTTTTTCCCTTTTCATTGCAATGTTTCAAAGAGAAAATGCAAGAGCCTCATTTACTGCTGACTTACTTTTAAAGTCACATCTGAATTTGTCTCAAGCATCGAATAGTTCAGAAATTTTAATTTTTTGTTGCTTTTTTTTCTGACTATAAAATAAATGCTACAACTAAAAATCTATGGCATCTCAAAGTCTGATTTTTTAGAAACATGAAAATGAAAATCAGTAAAATTACATTATTGTACACTCTGGTGACTTTGATTAATCTTTTTTTTTTTTCCTTCCTATTGTCTTTTCTTGGTTGAGGGTGGGCATTATGGTTGTTTTGGTTTTTTTTTTTTTTTTTTAATAGACATATAGTCTATTAGTATTTTCTAGAAGTAAATATAATAACATCCATGACATGAATGCCTAAACACCATTCTTCTTTGTGCTTATTGGAAATCAGCACTAAGCAAAAATATTTTGGCAAGTTCATTCCTTCATTTCCTGATTAAAAATCATAATATCCATTCTACAAGCAAGGTCAATGTCACAATATCAAAGTTACTCCAAAACTGAGTAGAACATTAAAGCTATTGCTGTCCCAGGTAGAATGGAAAGTTTTTGTATACTTTGTCTGGGTTGTTTGACAGCAATCTGTATCTACTGAACTTGCCTGGCAGCTCACAAGAACTGCAGTTCAGGTGTGTTATGACCCTGTTTCCCATTACGGGATGAACTTTGCAGCCAGGCGATGTCTCACATGGTCTATCTTACTGCTACCAGCCCTACGATGCATCACAGCAATCAAAACTGAGAAGATCCTTGTCCAAAGGAGCGAAACTAACCTTTCAAAGGTCTCTTGTTATAGTTTTTTCCTAACTCTTTATGGTTCTGTGCTTATTTAAGAACTGATACTGAGTTCCAAAAGCTGCTGGATGTAAGATATAAAAGTCTGGATTTTTTTTACTTTCCTGTAGAAATTTGGGTTATGCCATTTGCTTCACAATAGCCTTCATAAAGTTGTTACCTTGTTTTGATTTGTTACCTTGGACAGATAACTGGGCAGATTTCAAGAATAAGTCATTTGCTTTTTAATCTCCAAGTTTTCTGCTTGAACTGTTGCTACCAGTCGGTACCACATGACTACTGAATCATTCAACAGCTGATAATGATCAGGTTTGTAAATGTAAATTTTAGCATCCTTTTTCACTTCTCTCTCACACAGAAGTCCACGCCTTTGAAAAGTTTTGTTATATGGAGTACATTTCCAGAAAATGTCATTTGGCATAGACCAACTCTGAGTTTACAGCTGTGGTTTTGAATTCATCTCAGTAGAGAATAAACATTTGAAGACTTACTGTAAAGATTTTCTGTGTATCACAGAGTGTCAGCTCACACAAAACATCAACCGTGCTACGTAGTTTCTAGCATCCAAGGATATGTTTGCATGATATATTCTACTCAGAAGAAAGCTAACTGTGCCTGAACTCCAAAGCCAAACAGAGCCACATAACTGCTAGTTTTTCAGCAGAAATTAGTAGCCTGGATTTGGCATTGTGCGAGTATGGACCAGAAATGTTTGTATGGCTTGGAGGTTAAGCATCTATCCTGGCTTGGAGCTCAGGCAGTGAGCTGTACTGGATCTGGCTGAGATGGAGCTAATGTTCCCCATAGCTGCTGTGCTGTGTACTGGTAGCCAGCAAGGTGTTGGTAACACACCAGTGAGCAGTGCTGGCACAGCACCAAGGGTGTCTCTCCCCACCAGCAGGCTGAAGATCTTGGGAGGGGACACGGCCAGGACAGCTGACCCACACTGACCAAAGGGTATTCCATACCATACGGTGTCTGCTCAGCAATAAAAGCTGAGAGAAAGGAGGAGGAAGTGGGAGCATTCGTTATTTATGACAATTGTCTTCCAGAGCAACCGCTTCCTGGGAAGTGGTTGGACATCACCTGCTGATGGGAAGTAGAGATTAAATTTTTTGGTTTGCCTTTGCTTCCATGCATGGTCTTTTGCTTTTGCTTTATTAAACTGACTTTATCTTGAGTCAAAAGTTCTTTTCCATCTTATTTTTCTCCCATCCCTGTCCTGATCAGGAGGGCAGCAATAGAGTGGCTTGGTGGGCACCTGACATCCAGCCAAGGTCAACCCACCACAACTACACACCTTTTTATTTGGAGCCTAGTTTTGGATACTTTCTGATAGATTTTAATGACATAATTTTTGAATATTGCTTTATTGAGGTGTATTGGGTGTCACTGGCAAGGTTTTGACAGCAGGGGGGCAGGCACAGGAGAGCCTTCTGTGAGAAGAGGCCAGGGGCTGCCGCATACTGGACAACAGCTGGTTCCAGACAGTTCCATCTGGTTCCAGTCAGCTGTTCTTATCTCAACTCACAAGCTTTTTTATCTTATTTCTTTCTCCCCTCCAGCCGAAGAGGGTGAGTGAGAGCAGCTGGGTGGGCATCTGGCAACCAGCCTAAGTTAATCGACCCCATAAGGTAAGGGAGATAATTTGCAGCTTTAAATTGATCCATGCTATGTTTCATCTACTTTTTGTTCCTCCTAGGTCTAGTGGAAGGGATTACAGATTTTTTTATATATATTATATTACTACTTATTATTCTGCTTATTATTTGTCATTGAAATAAGTCAAAGGAATGCAAGGTGCACCAGGCAAAGACAGAAAGGGAGACTGTGGCTTTACTGCAGATTGATGAAGAGAAAGGAACTAGGAAAGTAGGGAAGCAATTCTCTTGGTCCATGGAGGTGATGGAAAGAGAGACCTGCTGAGGAAGATGTCACTGTTGGTAGAGGAGAATTTTCTATTGTTGGAATAAGCCTATCTAAACCAGAAAAATTAATTTACTGGCAAAGGTTGATTTTGTTTGGTTATTCAATGTTCCAGCCACACAGTCTTTTAAATATTTTTTTTTTCCTTATTAGTGATCTAATCTACTGTTTCCATTATTACGAGAAGCAAGATCTTTAATGTCACTTTTTGTTCTTTTTATTTTTAATGAGACTACCTTTCTTCTTTTTTTTGTTAAGGGATAGAAGAAGCAGTCTAAAAATCTGCATGAAATTACATAGCTGCACAATTACATAAGTTTATAACTTAGTATTTAGCTTATTAAAACAACTATATCTTTGATCATTAGAGGTTGCAAGGGGACCAAGACCCTTAGAGGGAAGGAAGTTTTCTCCTTATTGCAAATAAAGTTCAAAACAATAACGTTCTAATACTTTTTACCTTATTTGGATTTTTTTAACCTGGTTTTAACCAGAGAGCTTTCAAGAAGTTCTACTTATACGTGTTTGTCATTGAACAGTTTACAAACATAAATGCTTTTTTAAATAATAAAATCAATTGCGATAACTGTGGGGTTTTTTAAAAGTTGTCATTAAGCAATACTGTTACTCTTCATAAATTTATTGCTTTCACTCAAGTAAATTAAGTAAACTAAGTGAAAGTACGTAAAATGTCAGTAATACCTACTTTATTTAAGCCACTCATCCTTAATTAGATAAATTCAAACTGGATTGTCATTCCGAAAGATTTCCTTTTCTCCTAGCAATAAAAGATCATTTAAAATTCTGGACCCTTCAGTCAAGGGGAAAGGCTTGGTTAGAAGCAGATGCCTCCCGCAGGTCAACACCTGGCAGAACAGCTGGAGCAGTCAGATAGGCAGGGCTTAGGCTTTTACAGCCACTGGATCCTGCTTGAGGATGGATGGCAGCAGGGGAGAGACAGGATCTAACTGAAAATATTGGGTGACATCTTAGGCAACAAACTTGCTGACCTTGAGAGAAGGGCTTCAAGCAATGTTACCTTGGGGCTGGAGTCAAAATGGGGTCTAGGGAAAAAAGTCATGTGGGAAAAACACTCCCAACAGAAAGCAGTACTACTAGGGACCCATCTCAGGTGCCTAGGCACAGATGCAAACAGTGTGGGAAACAGGCAGCAGACGTGCACACAGTTACAATGCTGTGACTTCATTGGGAACACAGAGATGTGGTGGGATTGTCCTGCGGTGCTTGTGATGGATGAGTAGAGACTCTTTAATGAGAAGAGGTGGGCAGAGGGAATAGCTGCACTCCATAGAAAAGAGTAATTTGAACTAAAACGTTGCTGTTGAATGAGCAATGAACTAGTCAGGATGTTAAGGGGTTG